CATATCCTCTACGGCAAATCAGCAGTCAATGTGTTATTTTGACTTACATGTCAAATATAATATTTAAAACAGAAAAGCATTTACTTACTATAAGTTTGATATATAATTTTAGACATATAATTGAGAACCTGTTAGTAAAACTCATTCTAAACAATTAAACACGTGTTCACCATATAGTTGAACACTCCATAACATTTCATGACAGCATTATGAATTTTTTTCCTTACACTGGGTTTCCAAGTTGCTTTTATTGTTCTGAAACCATAATTTTCATTCTTTAATTCTATCTTTTGACAGATAAAACTTTTATATCAGAAGCACAGCATTAATTTTTTCTGGTTTTTTTTTCATGTTTACTTCCCTTTTGTATTGTAATATTAAATACTTTGATCTTCTGTGCTCTATGAATATTTGCCAACAGTCAATACTTGCGTGATTAGCAGAAGTCTGAGATGTTTTGTTTTTACATTTATGAATTTACACTTAATCTAATAATCCATTTGAGAAAAATTATGACTTTGAAAATTTGTACAAAAATTATTGCATTGTGATAACAAATAGCATGAACAATAGGGTGTATCAAAAATATAAATTTCTTATATCATTATCGGCAGGATATGCGATTGGTGCCTTTTAATAGTAGTAATTATGTGGGTAAGTTTCAGGCTTCTAAAATTATATCTTGTACTGCTATGAGGGGGGTTATTTTCCTTAAAATATCCATAATCAAAGCATACGAGAAATCAAAGTACCATAACTTTGGATATGCAATGTTTAGCTAATTTAGGAATTTTATATCCTAAATTTCCCAGAACTCACCACGAGGAGATAGTTGCATGTCGAGTTCCACCCATGCCCACTCAACCACCCTTCCACTGGGCAAAAGAATTACTGGATTATGTATTGTTTCCAAGTATTAAATTTTTTCATGATTTTGCAAGATTAAAGTTTTGCTTTAATGAATCCCCTTCTTCTGTGATAGCCAGATACAGCTGCTGAGGCTTCTGTTACTATTTGAACATGCCTTTCGACTGCTTGTGTGTGACACAGCATGCTGAACTTTAAAACTGGCGTGTCATTTTGATTAATGAAAGACACCAACTGTTCATTGCTTACATTTTTTGTAAGTGGTGACTCTACTCTCAGTCCACATTATTAGATCAGTGTAATGTTGTATTAATATTTGTGCTGGAATTTGAGGTAGATCAAGCAACAAATATTCTACAAAGAGCAAGTTGTCTGATAGCCTTAGAATAATCTCCAAGCATTGCAAGCAGCAAATTTTCCAGGTAGGCAAGATATCCATTTCTCCGGTTTACTCTATCTACCACATATTTCTCTGATTCAGGAAGAAAATGTGATTTTCTTACAAGTAGAAAAAGGTACAGTGAGCCATGGCTGCATAAGAGATTTTTCTTGATATTAAACCAAATTGTTGCATACACTTCAATTACATATCTCACTAACAAACTAAGCTTCTTGGATGGGTTAGCAGTTGTGACATAAAGATGTAAAATCCTGTTAGGTGTTGTTAACCAGTGAGAATGGTTCATTGTACCAGAGTCACGTAAAGCAAGTTCTCTTGAACCATGACCTGACACTACCGCATTGCACATATCATACAAATATTTTTGATCTTTACTAGGATCCTCAGGATGGTCAATTTTCGGTAATGGCTCTGTAATTTTGACTGAAACAAAGTTTACTGAAGGCAACAATTCACAAGTCTTCAGTTTCTTTCCATGATGACCAGAAAAAGTGGAAGTTCCTAGAATTACTCCATCAAGAAGCATAATTAAATGACATACGGGTAATTCCTTTGCATGCAACAAACAAATTAACCAAGGAACAGGTCTTCCTAAGTGCAATTCAAGAAGCCGCATAACTCCAGCTTTTTTTTTTCCAGATTTATGTATGTGCCATCACGGCCTACAGCGACTAAATGATCACATAAAATTTTGTTATCTTCAAACCACTGAATGATAGAATTTGTTATACCTTCTGATGTTCCGAAAGAAGGGGAAATGCAATCCCTGAAAATTGATTCAGGTTCACCCATCAAAGTTATGTGCTGTTCCACAACTACACATTTATAATGTTTTTGCCCATTTTTAATGAAAATTTTAGTTATATCTTTTCTAGATAGATTTAATACAATTTGATTCATCAGAAGTCAATAATGTTTCTTGGCATTTTTCTTGTTCCCATCATATCTTGTTTTTATCAACAATTTTAGCATTGTAATTTTCTTGAATAATGCCCATATCTTCCAAAACAGCTGAGGTAAGGGCTGCAGCAGCTCTATCTGAAATACAGTACCTGTCAGCTTCTCTCACAACCGTTGGAAGTGGTGTCATCATTTGTTTATTTATTTTAGGTTTTTGATGTAGAAAGTGCAGTATTAGCAACATCAGAATCTTCTGAGCTTGAAACCACTAAGTCCTATTGATTAACTATTTCATTTGGTGGAGAGATGATATACTTTTTTTTTCAAACTTTGGTTCGCTTGCTGCAGTTGAAGATATAATTGGAGGAGTTTCATACTGCATAAGATCAATTATTATAATAAAAGGCAACTATTGCACACCCTGCCGACTAGCAATTACAAAATGAAATTTTCGACTAAGTAAAATCGATGCACCATAGTAAACAACCTTACACATAACACAGATATATAAATAAGTCAGAAATATGTATAGAGTTAACAAAAGATATTCCAGTTTACGTGTTGACTGTATTTAATACCTTGACAGGCACATGTTATCTTTAGCTCAACATATACATCTCTTTCGGTTTAATAAATACTAGATATTTTGCTCTTGCACTGTTTGATACAATTAACTTCTTTCTAAGAAATACAATAGTAAAATCACTAGTATGTATACTTTTGGCTTTTTTTTTCTAATAATTTTAGGTTAATGCAACTCCACTGTATTATGAGAATTTAAAAATCAATAACTATGTAAAGATACACAAATAATAAAATCTATATAAGTTCATTTTGTAGTTGATATATAACTTGTCACAAACACCTTACAATTTTAACAGACAACAGAAACAGATTTTAACAATTTTAGCGATGCAGACAGATGCTGCAGGCTATTATAAAACTTGAATTGTTCTTTTAAAAAATCCTACACAATGTAACATTTAAGGATAACAACAAAAGAAACCTGTTGGTCAATCTAGGCTGTTCCATCCACTAATGTATAAAAAAAATCAAAGTCAGACCTTACCATTTAAATATTCATCAAAACTTTCCTTAAACTCTCTTAAATTTACTGTTTCCATCACACCTGAAGGTAACCTATTACAAAGAACAACTACCACATGAGAAAAATAAAACTGTCTTAGCTGAAGATGACTCCTACCTTTCAATATTTATGTTTATGTCCCCTAGTCCTACCATTCTCACCATTAGGTAAAAAAAAAAAGGTTGATGCATTGACACTATCAATTCCTTTAACAATCTGTTATTCTCCTTTTATCAAGTAAAAATAGTTTCTGAGATCATAACTTGTCCTCATATGACAATCTTTCCATCCCATTATCTCTCCTCTGAACCCTTTCCAGCAACTGAATGTTCTTCCTCAGGTTAGGAGCCCAGGACTGAGCACAATACTCCAATTGTGGCCAAACCAATTACCCTTACTTATACTAGTATTCAATAGTTTTGTAGTTACAACCTAAAATCTTATTTTCCTTATCACTAGCAAAGGCACACTGCTTGTATGGCTTAAGAGACTGATCAATCAGAACACAAAAATCCCATTACTTTTTTTTTTAAATATAGATAGCCCACAAACATTACCTTGCATTTGTTATAATTAAAAGTCATCTAATTTCCAAAGATTTACCCCCAGTGAAACCATGTAGTTCAAACAAATGATGATATAAACATCATCTCAACCACTACTGCTTGTCATATTCCAGCCATCCTGATAAGCCCCAGTACTGGGCAAAAGGCCTCACTGACACTGGATATAGCAGAAATAGGATGGTTCACATATTATTCGATTTTTTTTTTACTTTCACTCATAAATTCTTATATGCTAAAACTCAAAATGAAAATAAAAATTCAGAAAAATATTATTATTAATATAATAGCACTAACAAATTATTACATTTGCATAAACCACATGCAATACCACTGTCTTTTAAATTTTTTTAATTTACACTGAAAACCTGGGGGTTAGGTTGATTGCTACTATAATAAAATATGTAGCATTTTATTTTTGCACCAGCATATTAAATTAGATACTGTTATTCTACTCACACTGTTATGTTGAGTAATACCTGTATGCCAAATTCTTGTAACAAATTTAGCCTAGTACAATGCAACGTTACAAAATGTGACATTGGTAAGTCAGTATTAATACTATTTTTGAAAGATATACATATATTTCAAACTGTTTCAAGAGATATGCATAAACTCAGATACTTGCAAAGCCACTGAAATAATTTTTTAAACATTCTAAGAAGGATCTAAAAACTCTTATTTATTATTAAGAGTAACATAGTCGAGCAGAAATATTAGCTTTCACTTTCAAGAGTCAGACACTAAGTCTGTGTAAATTCTTTGCTGTGATAGTTACGGGTTATAAGTTATACTACTAGTACCAGTGCTACTAAGCTACAGCACTGTCGAATGAAACAACCAAATCATGGCATTAGCATTAACGGCAACAGTGAACTTAGCCTAATTCCTTACAAAATTGGTTACGTTAAGCATATTGTACAATTGTCCACGCTTAAAATTAAGTATAAAATAAAAGTTAATTATACTTATATATTCCATACGTTCCAAAATTTTATTCTATTTGAATTTTGAAATCTCTTGAAAAATACCAGACATCTGTTCAACAAGTGTATTAATTTCCTAAATAGCAGTTCTTCTAAATTAATAATACTTAACTACAGCAATAAAATAAACTTATAAATTAATTAATCTATCTCTACTCATCAATACAGATAAAATAATATATAAGTTCTTTACTCACGTTGCCCTTATCAACTAAACTTTGCTATCATGCTACTACGCAGATACTTACTCCCTCTCAGTAATATTTCAATGTACAAGATAAATATAAAAAATAATATATTTTATCTGACAAAAATGAATTCGTTTATTGTTTGTTTGTCAATTTTAATCAAAAGATTTTATATTTACAAATAATTGTTGTAAATGCCATGTTAACATATCCTTTATAGTAAAAGTGTAATTCCGTTTTTTATCAACAAAGTTACAACGAAGAGTTTGCAAATAATTAGATAAAATTGCAATTTCTTAATTTTTTGAATATACAAATATTATATTTTTGGTATGCAATGCTAGTATTTTGTTCTTTACTGTTATTACTCTAAATTTAGCTTTAGTCACTCGAGCAATGATTATGGTTCGTAATTCGGACCAAACAGCTGAATACTTTTCCATATTTCGATCGTTGTTCTTTATGTCACAAACTCTATCATTTAGTATTGTTACGACAGCGGGGGTCGCGTAACGCTGGTAGCGCGTCATATTCTCGAAGGTTCGGGAATCCTGGAGTGTTTACTAGATTTGCGGTATTCTTGTATATATAAGACCGCCAAGAAGTGACGGCAACAATGTAACTGAACTGCTGACAGAGATTGACGACTGAGTCGAGCACGTGAGTCGTTCGTTGTGAATTATAGCGTTTGTTATAGCGTAACTGTGGAAATTAAGTGTATTGCAAAGTTGTATTCAGAAAGAATAAACTAGTTTTATTTAAAAAATGACTTGTGTCGCTAAAGTTTCATCGGAAAGAAATTATACGGGAAATTTAACTAACGACCAGAGACTTAACAATAAAAATGGTCAGGAAAAGTATGGAACTAATAAGTTAGTGTTAAGTGTCTTTTTTAGGACATATAAATGGTCAGGAAATGTAATAAATAAATTAGTGATAAGCTTCCTTTTTAGGATGGTTTAAATGATCAAGAAATTTAATTAACTAATGAATTAGTGTTTTGTGAGATGCAAAAGACTGTTTAGTGTAAGTAGTAGTAGTAGTTGATTTATTTTGTGTTTGTAATTTATTGATATCGAGGCTATCAAATGTTGTGTGCAATCCATTAATATCAAGGCTATAGAGATTTCTAGAAGGCCTAAGTGATAGACATATAAATAATGGCGACCATACGAGCCGAAACGGGGTGGGAGAAAAAGTAAAGTCACGCGAAAGAGAACATCTGTGGCAGAAAATTTAAACATAAAGTTAACCGTCTTGGCAGCAAAAGGCCTAATGGTCGATATGTTAGAGTTAGTTTAAGAACTTTGAAAGAGATAAGGAGGATGAGTTGTCTCATCAAAGTGTGTTCGAAAGTAATTGAACCCGCCTAAGTGGACACTGATAACAGGCAGACGAGTTTTGGGAGTACGAAAAAAAGCAGACGATTGTTTGAAGTTCAACATACAACTGTGGTAACTCAACGACAACGTAAGTAAACGATACATGGTCACTATAGCGATAAGAAATAGAGAAAAATACTTCGGCTTGTCAACTGAATTCTAAAGCAATTGAATTAGCTTAAGTACTATTTATTTTACATTAATCAGTTAACTCACGCCTTCGAAATTAGAGTAAAAGTGAACTAGCGAACGAATGCAAATGGAGCTAAATTAAATCTGAAATCTGAAACTAAAGTATGTAGTGCACATTTTTCATATGTGATGAAAGGCCTACACTAAAACGTCACACTTTACAGCAAGTCTTCAGTCTTTCAAAACAAGCAAAAAAATCTTTCCGAAAGCATCACAATTACCCTCACATTCCACATTACCTCTATAGCTGAACAACCCAAAATTGTGTTACGAGAGCGGAAGTCACGTGACGCTAGTAACAGGTCATGATATTCTAGAAGGATCATGTCTGTTTGTGGTAACTCTAGTCTTTTC